GGGACATTTCAGCTTGGAAAAGAGGAAACTAAGGGGGGATGTGATAGAGGTCTATAAAATCATGAGTGGTGTAGAGAAAGTGAATAAGGAAAAGTTATTTACTTGTTCCCATAATATAAGAACTAGGGGCCACCAAATGAAACTAATCGGCAGCAGGTTTAAAACAAGTGAAAGGAAGTTTTTCTTCATACAGCACATAGTCAGTCTGTGGAATGCCTTGCCTGAGGAGGTTGTGAAGGCTAGGACTATAACAGGGTTTAAGAGAGAACTAGATAAATTCATGGAGGTTAAGTCCATAAATGGCTATTAGCCAGCATGGGTGAGGAATGGTGTCCCTAGCCTCTGTTTGTCAGAGGGTGGAGATGGATGGCAGGAGGGAGATCGCTTGATCATTGCCTGTTCAATTCACTCCCTCTGGGGCACCTGGCATTGGCCACTGTCAGTAGACAGGGTACTGGGCAGGATGGACCTTTGGTCTGCCCCAGTACGGCCATTATGTTCTTAATTGTTCTGCATATTCACCAAAGGTAAGTCAAGAAGTAATGGGTTTAATCTACAGCACGGGAGATCTAGGTTACATAGACATTATTCTTGCCTCAATAAAGATAGTTAAACTCTGGAATAGGGTTCTAAGGGAGGTTGTGGAATCACCATCACGGGAGGTTTTAAGAACAATTTCAACAAACACCTGCCAAGGATGGTCTAGGTTTATTGGGTCCTGCCTCAGTAAAGGGGATTGGACTTGCTGACCACTTGCCTTTCATTTCTATGATTCTCAATTTTTTTTTAAAATTAGCTTTCAACATAGGCAAGGGCAGCCAGTTCTTCGGTCAATTAATTATTTGAATTGGGAAAGCATCTAGGAGTTCCCGTCATGGGTCCTGACCTTAGTTGCTGTTTTGTTGATACATATTGTGGCAGCTGCTTATGAACCTTATAAAAAATGAGAGAACAGCCTTATATGGTTGCTTTCACTTTGTCCTACAGTCTTACTTAAATTATTTTTAAATTATTAATTATTATTATTGAGTCTCTTGGATAAAGGGAACTCTGCCCCTAGACTGAGAACTGGCTGAAGGGCAGGTATGCATATGGCAACAATAATCCAGGAGGGGCCATAGAAAAGGAACAAATGGGAGGCAGCCATGTATGAGATAATGTGAAACAAGGCTCTCAGGAGCAGTGCAAATGGGAAGGAAGAAGGTTGGCACTCATGGTGAGAACAGCATTAGGTCTGAGAGGGAAGGGGGGACTGAGGTGTGCTTACTAAGCCGGGGGGGCCATATTTTAGTTTCTTACCTTGAGAACAGGGGGCTGCTAGGTTACAGTGCGCTGGTCAAATAGACCTGCCTGGGAGGCTCTTTCTGGGCATTGGCTTAGTACATAGTTGGAGCTGGATGAAAACAATTGTTTCCCTTGAGCCGGTGGCAACTGGACACTAAGGAGGAAGACAAGTCAGGGCCAAGGCTCCAATAAGAATAAGGTTCTACAACAATTGCCTCATAAGGCAAGTTCTGTGGCCTAGGATTTGCAGAATTGTCTCCTAACCTTGGTAGTACTAAAGCTTTACTCTGGGGTCTGAATCCAGGCCCACTTGGCCGTGAACAGTGACAGAAAGTCCTTCTCATCCGATGACTAATGAATGGCCTGTCCAAAATTAAATGGTTTCTGTCCAGTTCCTAAAGGACAGATATCCACATCACGACTGGTATTTAGTGACAGTCTCAGGGGAAAAGCCAAGGGGACAGTGAGTACAAATATTCTGTCACCTTTTCAGGCTGGGGCTGCATGCAGATGCCTCCACTGCTGTTACTGTTTTATCTGATTATATGGATAAAGATGGCAAATTGTCAGTCAGTGAGGCAACAATAACAAGGTTGTACTGAAGGTTAACTGAACAGTTTAAGCATCAGATTCAAGTAACATGAGAGGTAAAATTACAGCCATTTAGAGGAAAATGCAATATATCTTGGCCAGTTGAAGGTTTGATGGCCTATAAGAATTGCCACACAGATGAGATCAGGGCCCTTTTATACAGTATTTCATCCCTGACAGTGACCAGTACCTGATGCTTCTGGGGAAGCTGCAGGTAATCCTGCAGTTGACAATCAGTGAATATCTTGCACATGGAGTAAGTTTCTTATTGATCCTCCCTCAGCTACTGGTTGTCTTCTGCTCTGAAGCACTAGGGCTCATATACCATATGCTTTTTCCTTTTTAAAAAGTAATGTGGATGTTCTCATTATCAATAAAAAAAAAAGAGTCTTTTCTAAATCCTACTAACCTTTTGGCCTCAACAATGTCTTGTTGCAATGAGTTCCACAAATTAATTATTCATTCAGTAAAATAGTTTCTCAGTTCAAAATGTGTGAAAGTTCAATTTCATTGACTCTCCCATTGTTCATTCATTCCAAGTGGCTTTTTTTTTCTCTTAATGACATTCTGAAAAGCCACTGAACCAATTTTGCCGAAGTTTTTAGAGAAAAAAAAATCAGACTAAGGTAGACACCTGGCATAGAAAATTTCAACGTGAACAGGTAAAGTTTGGCAAAGTTATGTGACTAAAAACAGGGTCTTACAATGGAAAGTGTCAGGAAAACGGTCTAAAAATGGTACTACCTGCATTGCATGCAATAGGAGTTTTGCCAATGACTTCAATAAAGACAAGATTATAAATATTTGTCTCCTCATGAAGAAATCTTATAGTATCTAATTGTTGTCTCACTTTTAACTTTTGCATCTTTTGAATAACTTCATTTTGGTTTAATATATTTCATGCAAAGCTTTAGAAAGAGGAGTTTTAATTTCATCCCATTAAAAAATCAAAGTTTATCTGTATATTTTTAGGTATCAGTTCTAAATCTGCTCCATTCACTGAACTCTCATTATCTTCAGTGGGATTTTGACACATGCTGTGACTAGGCAGCTAAGGACAGAGATGAATAGGGATATAGCTGTGTGACTGTGTTGGAGGGATCCTTCAATCTTCAGTGCACCCTTGTGACAAAACAAGATGACAACAACCTTGGCTCAATTTCCCCTCCTTTGTTGATGGATCATTTGTCACCTAGCTTATTTGCTGCAACCTCCAGCCAAGTCATTTTCCCTTCTCAGGGTGCTAAAGAGCCCAAGAGATCAGGATGTCAATCACCCTAGATGAAGGTCATACAGTCTACATGACTCACTTCTTTAAGGCCTCAATAGACCTCCTTGCTGTGTGTAGCAGGGGCACCCAAGGACACCCATTCCTTTAGGTTCCAGGCCAGGCATTGACATTAATCTTTCCTAACCCTTTACTTGCCCTGGACTATTTCTTACCATGCCTCTCTTATAGGTCTTGAGATCACACCCTCTAGTCCTCTCCTCATGGAAGTTAAACTTCCTGGGTGGCCTCTCACCAGACTGAAGAAGGAGGATCTATATTTAAATAGCTCCTCAGCCTCTCTGGCAGCCAATTGGAACGACTTCATTCTTGCTTCCCTTTCTCTTCAGGTCCAGCCCCAAGATATAAGTTACCTACTGCAGCTCTCCACTTCCAGTTCTCCTCTGTTAGCCTTGCAGTCATTCCTTTATTGGACCCATCCAGTCTGGCTCTCCACCACTGGGTCTAATCCTTAGTTACCTGTCTCCTCTCCAGATGTTACAGAATGGGCTAATGGGCTATCCAGCTCTCCCTAACCTTAATAGTGCCAGTGTGGGATTTTATATTCACCAGCTCCCGTTAACTTCGACTGAAATCCTAGGCTAACAGCCTGTGAAGTGCTAAACATAAAATTGCAAAGATCATTTTAGAAACATTCTCATGTGCACAGAAAGGAGTAAATATGCCGCAGAGCACACAGGGAATCATAGAGTCTTCTCATAGCTAAAATCCCACATTGCCTATTAACACTTACTTTATACTCTACTATGGGTGGGAGCTAATCTTGAGGTGTGAAGGATTTGCAGTAATAACAATCAGTGAAAAACAGTGTCTGTGCATGCTGCACATATTCACTAGCTTGGCAGCTATACAGTACCCATTTGGATTTATCAGTAAATAGGACCTGTATTAAATGTAAGCCATCATTTATACACCGTTCTATGAAAACAATGGAAATGCTAGGGCACTTTTATTTTATAAATCACAACATTTATAAACATACAAATAAACCAAATATATTATATTTATATATATATATATATTTCTTTTCCTTGTGGTTTTAGCACTAAAAAGCATTTTCTCTTTAGATCTATGTGAGTTGAGGAAACAAACAAGTTAATGTCATTGTCACCAACCATCTGCACTATAAAAATGTATACTTTTACCTTTCAAAACTCTCCAGTGAAAATGACCAAATTAGAAACTAGATACTTTATACAAAACTAAGACAAAAAGACAATGAATCATGGATTTGAAACTGTACAATTGTTAAGGAATTGAAAACACTTTTGTTTTAGAGAGAGTCCAAATCCAAAATCTGAACTGCTAAAGATGGGGGAAGTTTAGGTCCAACTTTCAACCTTGATTCAAGATGGAGTTAAGTACATGCTTCATTTTTAGCACATGCTTAAGTCTCATTGAGGAGCCTACGCATCTCACTAAGAGGACCTTTTTGTTGGTCTGACTGAGGGATGTAAGTGATTAGTGATGCGACTAGCTGCTTTCCCCCCCCCCCCCCTTGCTGCCTCTAAAAGCCGATTCTCCCACCACCGTCTCCGCGGAGGGCAGCGGAGGTAGAAACACAGTGGGAAACAGTGCGAGAGGGAATGAAGAGGTCTCCACTCGTGCTGCTTCTGTTGTGAGTCTGCTTTTGAAGTGTACAAGAGCCCCAGCGACTTGTACATTTCAAAAGGAAGCCCTGCAGGGAGTGTGGGGCTTGGCCTGCTGGGCCTCTTGTACATTTCAAAGCAGAGAACGCAGGCCCAGTCCCCTGCTGACCCCACGGTCCCTGTGGCACTTCTGCTTTAGAACTGTAGCAAGAGCCTGGCAGGGCTCTTGCTACAGTTCAAAGGAGGAGGCCCCCTTATAGAGTAATCGAATAGTCAATGGAAATCCCATCAACTATTCGATTAGTTAATTAATCTCAATTTAACATGCCTAGTCTGGCCTCTGTCCTTATACTGAGACAAGCAAAATCACTGACATGAACAAATACCTCTGCAAAATCCTCGGAGGTGTGGGTTTAGATACAAATCCATACTTGGAGACTATGATCCATCTCTAATATATTCAAAGTGTAGCTATTTATTTTACAGTCCAATCCATTGAGTACTTGTGTTTCAACACAAGCATTGTCCTCTCTTGTATATTATTTAGTGTTCTCACACTCTTCAAATCATTTCAGTTTAAACAGAGGAGTCCATCTGTTCATATGGGTATGTGTAATTGCCATTAATGTTAATGGCAGTTACAAACACATCGGAACATTTCCAAGTAGAAATGAAACAAATCTAATTTTTACAAAACTTTTTCTAAAAGATGTGTTTCATAACTTTACATTGAAATCAGAGCTGATGTGGTGACTGGACATATGTTAATTAAGATATCACAAGCTCAGTTCTTCTATCGCCCACACTAGTAGAGATACCCCAGTTTTATACTTGGGTAAGTGACTAGCACTTGCTTCTCCAATCACTACCCTGGAGACTTAATAAAATGAATGGAAAATATATCCTGCCCTTTTTAATAGAATTCTAAAAAAGGATTGCCAATATATGTGAATAGGAATAATGTTTTCAGCTATCCAGATTAAGAAATTATGAACACTATTAATAGTGATGGAAAACTCAGAGGATATTAAAGATGATGATCCATAATTAGTGCAGAATAAACCTCAGAAAAACTGGTGGCTTGATTTTGAATTGCAACCACATTCCTGTATGAATGGGGTGGAAGTGCCCATGGGAATATTCATATTCAAAGTAATAGAGCTGATCTGCAAATATTTTAAAAACAATCTCAGCAATTCCAGTGAACAGGATGCAAGTAATTTGAGCTCATAAGTGACACCTCTCTCTCTCTGTGCTAATTTTACGTGGGTATTAAATAATTAGGTGTAAATTGTAGCTGCTTGGATGTCAACAATAAAAATAAATCCTCTTATATGTTTATAATCAATCCCCTGGATTTAATGTAGCAGTACAAGCAAGCCGGTTTTGTGTAACTCAATCCAAACTGGATTTTTTTTCCCTTCGTTTTTTATGAAGTATGTGTATTTCATGTGGCAGATGGCTGGAACTCTTTCCATACACCAGGCTCATCCAGAATGAGCCAGATTTCACTCAGTCACACCATGATGAAGGGAAAATAACTCCAGTGCAGTGACACTGGTAGACCAGAGAAGAAACTGGTCCACTGTCTCATCCCAGAAACAAACTAATTCATGATCTTAAGGACTTTGAAGATTTTAGATAGGAAGATTGATGAATGATGTTGGTTTCCCCAGAAGCTACATCTCCCTTGTTGCATATAACAGATGTTCATTTACAGAAAAATTCTTATGGTCCAGGTAAATCTTAAAAGTATAGGACCTCAATTTGCTGTCACTTACACAAACCTTTATCAGGAGTAACTCCACTGAAGTCAAAACAAGCACACAAGTCTCAAACCAGTGTAGAGGAGAGGATCTTCAGGCCTACTGAAGAAACCATTTTATCTGATTCTACTGCATTATCCTAGGTTACAGAACTGTAGTTTCTCCATATGGCCATCCTGGTTACCTGTTATCTAGTCTGATTTCATGACTTCTGAATAAGAATGAAGAAAGCAAACACTAGAAAATAATAAAAACATTCAGAAGATTTGTTTCTAATGGTCAGCAGCTGGGGTGCATTTTCTTCCATGTCGTCTTAGCTGCAAAGTGCTGAAATTAGTAGAACTTGTACAGTGATATTAAAAATGTAATAGAATATTTAGTACTGGTATGTCCATCACAGTAGTGCTTCCAAACAGAGATAAGGAAGGACTGGCAAGGTATTTTTAATGTACAGTTTAAAGAAAAAAATATAGCGCCAATAGATTGTATATTTCAGTTTCATACTGAATCCATGCTACCACTACTTCGGCTTAGTTCTGAGACCCTTTATTCTGGCAGCATTAACAGGATGGCTGGTGCTTAGGAGCGGAGGTCACCTTCCAACATGGGATTGTGGGTGATGCTCCACTGAAGCTCATGTGGGCTCTTCTCTGCTTCACCAACTGGTGGCTTCCTACCATTGAGAAGATGTAGCTGGCACCCCGGTTCGCTCCCCTCTTCTGCTAGCATCTGCGTTGCTTTGTTGTTTGCTGCAGGATGAGACCGCACATACGCTGGATGAAATGGATGAAAGTTACTCAGAGCCATCTGAGACCACTGATAGCAACTAGCAAGAAAATTCATAAGAACAAAACAGCAGCCATATTGAGTCAGACCACTAGTCCCATCTAATCCAGTATCCTGTTTCCACCAGTGGCCAGTGCCAGAGTTTCAGAGGGAGTGTACAGAATAGGACATTTTTTGGAGAAATCCACTCCATCTTCCCCTCCCAGGTTCTGCCCATTAGAGGCTTAGGGTTGCCCTAAATATGGAACTACTTACATCCTTGACCATCTTGGCTAATAACCTATGATGTATATATCTTCCATGAACATATATAGTTCTTTTTTGAACCCAGTTATACTTTTGGCCCTCACATCCCATGGAAATGAGTTCCACAGGTTAATTGTGTGGAGTGTGTGAAAAAGTATTTCCTCTTGTTTGTATTAAACCTGTGGTTTATTAATTTCATTGGGTGACTTGAGGTTTTTGTATCGTGGGAAAGAATAAATAATTTTCCATTCACTTTCTTCCATACAATTCATGAGTTTGTAGACCTCTATCATATCCCCCTTAATCATGTCTTTTCTAGGCTGAACAGTCCTAACCCTTTTAGTCTCTCTTCTTAAGGAAGCCATACCATACATACCCTTGACCATCATTGCTACCCCTCTCTGAACCTTTTCCAGTTCCATTATATTTACTTTTTGAGATAGAGTGAGCATAACTGGACACAGTATTCAAAGTGGGTGCGCACCATGGATTTATATAGTGGCATTATGATCCTTTCTCTTATTATATGCCCCTGTTTAAAATAGTTCCCAACCTTCTGCTTGACTTTTGACTGCTGCTGTACACTATGCTCAAGTTTTTGAAAACGATCCACAGTGATTCCAAGAATTCCTTCTTGAGTACTAGAAGTACTTAGAACCTATTATTATATATGTGTAGTTGGGGTTTTTTTCCAACATGCATCAATTTGCACTTATCAGGGTTGATTTTCATCTGCCATTTTGTTGTCCCATCAGCCACTTTTGTGAGATCCCTTTGTAACTCCTTGCAGTCTGCTTTGAACATAACTATTTTGAATAACTCATGACAGCCTTGAGGAGTGGATGTGAAATGAATACAACTGGAAATGTGTCACTACAAACAAAAATCTAGGGTAAAAGAATATTAAAGTTTCAAAGAGAAGCATTTAGAAGTCAGGAGAAAGCTTGAGATTTTCAGAAACAATTTTTCAAAGACTTATCACTTGGCCAGATTTGAAGTCCCTGCAACAAAGCATAGAAATATGAGTGGTTCAGGCATATGGTGTAAGAATTCTTCTTCCCACGAGCAAAGCAATTATCTTCCCCAAATCTAAAAAATGGCTGGACCATTTTTGCTAAATCTCTCTCTCTCTCAGCAAACAGCTGCCATCAAGAATTTCAGTGCAAATGTTTCAAGTTGAACAAAGTTATAAGCAACTGAGAACAGGGTGTTAGAATAGAAAATGTCAGGCATTCTTGTCTATAGGAAGTACTACTAGCTGTGCCTATAAAAACCAACAGCACTATTCTGTTCCCTTTGAGAGTCCTTAATCTAAACATCTCAAAGCAGCTTCAGAAGTTGGATAAACATGTAAGTATTATTCTCATTTACAGGTGGAGAAACTGAGCTAGAGAAATCAAAGGGTAAAATGATCTCACATATACACAGCTTGAATAAATAGGCTTTGTGCAATGAATTGAGGGTAGAATTCTCCAGCCAACCTTAGTGACTCTGCAGCCAAGACTTGGACAAAGGATCTGAACTTGGGACTGTCACTTCTGCACGTCTTTCTTAGGTGTTTTTGGCCACAGTATGCATATAACCATGGGCCCCCTTCACCATGACACTGCTCCTCCTCCAACCCACCTCCATGAGAGGCTTCCACATGGACTCCTGATATGTTATCACCACTTCACACCCAATACAAGTCTGCTCAACTTCTACCCTTTCACAGAGCAGAAGCATGGCAGTTAAACTGCACTAGGCATGTCTGTTATCCCTGTCATCTTAAAAAAAAACTTACTCTAAATGAATTGATCAATGGCTCATACCAAATTGGTGGCCGTATTGGGAACAGAACCCTGGTACTACAGCTTCCAGGCTCCTGTTTGTAGAATCCTTGACTCCCACAATATTTATGCTTTGGAAAAATCAGCTAATTTAAATATGCTAGCCTGAGACTGCCTCTGCATGTGTCGGTGCGTTGATTTGAAGCCAACGGAAGATTTGCTTACAAAGAGCATTGAGGATTAAGCTTTATGGGCTAAATTTCAAAGGGTTTTAGGCACCTAAAAATGCAGATGGGCACATACTGGGATTTTCAAAAGTGCCTAAGCAGGTTAAGTTCTTTGGAAAATCCCTTTAGGCATCTATCTGCATTTTAGATGTCTAAAATACCTTTGTGAATCTGGCCCTATGTGTTTATACATTATTGCAGAGAGAATTTGCTTTCCCTGATAATCGTTGTAGGTGTGAGCTAAATATGAGCACCGAGAGGACTGGTGCTGTACATGGAGCCTTTCCTCCACTGGTTTCCAGTTCAAATCCAGTTCAGGTCAGCTGTCAGTGAATCCAGATGACAGCTGAAAAGCAGTATGCTCTAAATGAAAAAGAAAAGGAGGACTGGCACGGATTTTCAAGGTCAGACTTCTCTCATCTTACAACGCAGATAATGCCTGCTTCCTTTCATCACAGGGATAATACGGGGAGGCTTCAAAAGTTAATGTTTGTACAGTGCTTTGAACATGGAAATGCTGAATGAATACATATTCTCAGAATCTCATGGCTGGTTATTCAGATGTCTGTGTGAAAATACTGGTCTCTTCCCAGCTCCTAGCAGACAATGTATGCGCACGTCACAAAATCATCAGCAGTGATACTGAGCAGACCACATGGTGTGTGTCAGCAGGGGTCAAGGGCTGTGTGAGCATTATCCAGTGATGTAAGTAATGCTTACACAGTGCCAAGGGGCCTTAAACTGGCCCCAGATTCAAAAGAGGGGGACCCCTGTGTAAGTTGTCACCTACACCAGCTACCCCCTGCTCCTGGTGCAAGGGGCAAGAAGGAGCATGTAAAGGATGGGCTAAGCTGATAGGGGCATGGTGGGGCTGAGCTGATCCTCTATTGATTTAGAGGACTGAAATCAATAAAACTCTACCAGTTCCCTAGCTCCTGCTGCCCTCCAGGAAAGTACAGAATCAGGGCCAGAGAATGTAAATGGACCTTAAGAATTCATTGGTCAGTGCAGCTTTCAACTCCCTCATCTAAGTGTCATCAAACTCACCTGAATAGCACAGAGTGGTTAGGAGGGGCTTGGTGACGTAACAAACAACAGGCATGAAGCTTTTATAGGAAAGGAACCAAGTCCAGGGTGTTTATGGGTAAAATCTTTGCATCTGTTCAGGCAAAAACTAGGAGATGTCAAAGGAGCTGCACCCACTGCAGAAGCAGGAGTTTTGGCTCAAGGAACTCCTTACTATCTGACAACTCTCCTCTCAGAACTGATTAACACACTGCAGGATGTGGCTCATCTACGCCTTGTCTTTGAATGGCCGCTACACATTGAACTATTTAAATGCTAAACAGCAGTTTACCTCTCTCTCAAGCAAAAAGATCCTCCTTACACATGAACTTCTGAGAGCTCTGGTGAGATAAAGAACTGGCCTTGCCCACCAGGCTATTTACACCAGAACCCCACGTAGGCTGGGAAGCTGTCGGCTGTCTCCTCGCAGCAAGGGCAGGAATGACCTTTTGCTGTGAATGCTGCTGGACTGGAACTCGGACTGACTTCTGCATACAAGGACGCCCTCTCCTGCACTAACCGCTCAATGATTCCAAGCAAAGCGGCTGCCAAAGATTAAAGAAAATCTTACTCACCGGGCTCTGAAGGACAGGAGCGGTCGTCATCAGCTGCCTCGCAGTCCATTAGTTCGACAGCTCTGCCTTCCCTGTGACTGTTATGTGCCATCACAACAAGGAACTGGAAAACACACACAAATACAGCAGACAAGTCTATTCTTTTTCCTGGAGTAACATACAGTGAGCCGCACTCAAAACCCATCGCCACCGGGCTGCTCTGCCCATGAGAGAGAGAGCAGGGCCTAATGTCCTCCAGCAGGCTGAGTGGAAGGCCCACCTGCTAAGCCACCCACTTTCCCAGAAATACCCACTCCTAAGTTCCTGAGCAGTTTTTCAGTGAGCCTCTTGGGAGCCCAGGAAAAAAGCATCTGAAATCTACCCAAAGGCTCTGTCCTCTCCCCCAGATGTGGGGGCCGACCTCCCACTGATTTCAGAGGTAGGCATCTCAGTGCTTTTTTAAATCCTATGGCAGGGTGACTGTCTGCACCTTGGGCCACCTACGTACCTGTCACAAAATCTCCCCTTTGCTTTCCCCTTGTCTTTGGGGAGCGAGTCAGCAGCTGCTCAGCACCACAGAGAGCCAGCTCTGCAGGCAGTGACCAGCAGGCGGCAGCTCAGAATGGGAGAGAGAGGAGGTCCTCCAGAGCAGGCTAGGAAGAAAGCATGATTGTGACTGGCTCCCAGCATATACTCTCTGGGTATGAGGGAGGAGGAGAGCCTGCCCATTCTGGAGGTAAAAAGAAAAAATAATTCTGTCCCAAGGGAGATGGGGAAACTCAACAGGGCTGTGTAGGGGAAGAACCAGGAAGAACAAAGGGAAAGGGGGTGGAAGACAAACAGAGATAAAGAGGAATGGGGAAACTGATGGTAAGGGATAGTTAAAGAGAGGGGAGGGGAATGAAAGAGAGATACTAAGAGATGGGAGCCAGAGGTCCTGGAGGCAGAAATGGAGAGAGATATTTGATATTGACAGGGGTAGGGAGGAAGGATTGATGGATTTATGCAAATAAGACAATGAATATTTGTCTAATATGCATGTTTGGGTACTGATTCAGATGCAGAAAATCTCCAGTCCTACAACTGTAAAAGGCATGCGATGGACTCTGAAGCAGCCTTTCAAATATCTGCAACATAGAGCAAAGTAGAGCTAGACTGAATTACAGGTCTCAGAACAAACTAAACCCAGAATATACTCATCCAACAGTTTGCCAAGGATGCCACAACTCTGGAGTGAACCTTGGCTGGTTTATGATTCCCTGCAAAAAAAAAAATTCTGCAAAATATGCAACTTCACATAGGCTTGACAAAAACCGGGGGGGAGGGAGGAAGAGGACAGTTTCAACTGTATGCAATACACAGGTTGTCCCCAGGATCGAGCTGGCTCCTGCACCTGGAAAGCAGGATAAAAGACCCTCTGAAGGTTTGGGGTTTATTTGAATCTGAAAGTCTACATGGACCTCAAGGCTGTGAACCCTCATAGTGTAAAAACTTAGATATGCACCTCCTTAGTGTGAAAGCCTGCAGCAAACTGCAGGTATAAAGCTGATTGCTTTGCTGTGCTCTAGCAATTGGCATAAGTGTGGGAGTAAGTGAACCATTTTACCTAGTCAGTTCCAGTAACCGACACCATGGCAATTGATTGCAGCTGGAGGGAAACACTACACCTCTTGCATGCATGTGGGCTCTGCATCAGCTCCACATATTTCACAGCTGGTGGGTGGCTCTGGGTCCAAATAGGGACAAGGCATGGAAGCTGCCTTGCACCTGGCCCAGAGATCAGAGCAGAGATTCCATTCCCCCAAATCCCCTTCTAGCTACACAAACATTACTTGCTTGGACTAAGTGCCAGGAAAGGAGTGAATTTCATTAATAGTTTACAGTTACGGGTTGCATTATTAGCATCATTTATTGCATATATTATCATCATAACATTTGATCCACCCACTATTTAAGCCATTAATTATTAAATAATATTACTAACCATTTATATTTTGGTACCACCCAAAGTCCCCAACCAGGTTTGATGCCCTATTGTGCTGGGAGCAATACAGGCACAGAGGAGAGAGAGTCTCTGTCCCAGAAAATAACAGAACTTTCTTTTTAAATCAAACTCCTGAACGGTAAAAGTGGATTATTGTTCAATGCTTTTCTTGGCAATAATGCCTTTCCTGTCCCAAGTATGTGTGAAGATGCCATAGTACTTAATCATCATTGAGCAAATCAAATGCATGATGCAAAACTAATCTACTGCTTCTAAGAGAAAATAATAGCATTGGGACAGAAACTACTTGCTGACTCATTTGAAATGAATTACTTTATTAAACATAATTTACAACCCCCATAGAAAGAATGTAGGTGGTGAAATTTATCATTAGACTGTATATTAGGTAGATTGGATTTGTTTTTGTTGACTCAGTTCATTGTTTTGCTGGTTAATTACCCCCCAAGCTCAATGCAAATGTCATCAGCCGTTGGAATTAACTGCAGGGATAAATGCTGATGAGGACCATGTGAATCAACTGGAGGCCACCTAATAAACGGATCCAAGCCAACAGGCTTTTTTCGATTCCAACAAATGTTTCCGATTTCCCAAACCTCAGCTGCTTTGCAAACTGTGTTTTTCTTCTCTGCCCAGGAACAAATGCCAGCATGGCTCAGATTCATCACATTGGCTATTTGATACCTGCAGCAACAAAGTGCCGACTGGCTCAGCAACTGAAATGCTGGTAATAAAAGGTCCACAGGAGCACACGGCCTCCTCAGCTAGAGAATTATTTCATGCCGCAACCATGGTCTTGTCAATTCAACACGCCTTGCATATGTTTAAACATACATTTCAGTGACCACCCACTTGCAAGCCCAGCCAGACCTTGAATCCAGTCTATTTGCAATATATCTCTTTAGTGTTCCTTAAAAGTCTTCAGAGGAGATACACATTACATGTTGTTTGAAATCTTCCAGCCCCTTGCATGTATTAATTTACAAACAAACCTGGCAAGGCCTGCAAACAGAATTTCTCTGAACTCAGAGACTTGGTGCAATAGATTCAAGACAGGAACCTTTTATTCAAGATAAAATCTAGTATCTCAATTATTTAAAAAAAATAAACATTTAGGGCCTTAGCTTTGGTATATAGAATCTGGTCTAAACCCAGTTTTTATACTGATATAACTATGTAGGTAACGGATGCATTTTTTTTTAACCCAAATAGGTATACCAGCAGAACTCATAGGGTAAATAGATGTACTTCAATACAGATACCTTACATGGTACAACTTATTGCCCTCCCCATACCAAAATGAACTATTCCATTATATAAGTGCTGAATTCATATTGCAGGGAGGTGGAGAGGTGGAGAAGATGTACTGCTTTAATTCTACTGGAAAGCTGTGCAACTTGTGTGTGTATATGAGGCTTTCCCCTGACAATGAAAAAGGGTCTTAAAGCAAAAATCAGTGTATCCATATTTGGAAAGCACATAATTTAGGGCTACTTTAAGGCTCAGTTACCGTGTCAGAGCAGTACAAAACAGCCTTAATGTAAATGAAAATCAAGCTGATCATGTAAGAATTATGGGGCCAAATTATCCCTGTTCCACTGGTGCAATTCTAGTGACCTCAACAGACTTGGATGAATCTGACCAGAAGGAGAATTTGACATCCTCTGCCTCAAGAAAAAAATTATTAGAAGAATACTTTATATTTTCTCACCCCCAAGCTGCTATCATAGATTAGATATTTGTCTTTCTAAGATTGCTTCTGATACAAAGGCATTTAACGGCATCAAACCCCAATCTAAAGTTCAACAGCTTGCCTAGCATGCAAAATACTTGGCTTCCAAGAAACCCTTTGCAGGGAGGGCATACTTTTCTGTGAAAATAACTCTGTGATATGCCATGTCATCACGTTGCCATTTCCTTAATTTAGAACACAGTTCCAACAGTTGTGTTCAAAGCTAACAATAACACTGGCTAATGGCTGCAATACATTCAGGCAGCTGTGAACTTTGAGGGATAACAATGAGGTAAGATGAACTACAGTTCACAGCAAAGTATTTGATGACTCTAGCAGTTATTTAATATAGTTAAGATGAGAATTATTTGATGGATAATCTCAAGTGGATCCCTAATACTCTTTGATCCTTCCTACTTCCATATTAATATAGTTACCCGAGGCTTATTGCTAGTAGGTGTCACGTTCTCACTGTCGGCACTGCTGCTGCTGCTGGCATTTCTTATCGCTTCTGCATAGGGATTCTTCTTATAGAAGTTCTGACTTCTGCAACATAACAAAAGGCCAGACAAATTCATTGTCATTGGAAGGAACAAATGCCATATTACTTTTCCATTTTCTTTTACTGGCAAAGAATAATATTTTGCTACTATTGACAAATGAATGGATGTATTCTGTTTTCTTTCACACAGATAAATTAGTATATTACTACTAATTACAGATGTGTGGTTAAAACAATCCTGACTTGATAAAAGTAGAATTGTTTCAAAAGTAGTAAAATGTTTGTACTGATGTGCCTTCAGTAGCATGTTGTTTATAAAAATAACAATTGTGGTAGGGATTTGGGAGGGAATAGTAAACAAATATAATACTGTTTATTATTGTAATATTTGTTTATTTACCAATTTGGCTTTTTTCTCTTTATTAAAGGCCAGATACTCAGAGCTACACAAATGCTACGATAGTGTGTCCAGTCATTGTAAGTGTGCGTGCACGTCAGAGAAGTAAATACACATACATTCTTGCATGCTTATTTGAGTGTATACAATTCTGAAAATTCAGCCCTTTTTAATCAGTTTTTCATAAATGACATCAACAAAACTTCAGAAAAATCACATAATAAATATTACTAATAAACTCAAAATTCTAAGAGCTAAAATATTTCCAGAGTGTCTCTAACATAGAAAGTTATATAAGCAGAGAACTACTTAGTCCTGGGGGGGAAGAAGATAGCAGTATTATCAAGAGGAGAAAAAAAGATACAAGTAGTCAGATCTAAGTGGTCAGTTTCACAATTCTAACATATTATGCTACCAGTTGAACAATGATCACTACAACACAAGATTGAATACTATTTATTTCAGAAAATCATCCCTACTGAGGAACAAAGTTTAAGTACCTGCTTCATTTTAAGAGTAGTTAATTCTTTAGTTATATCCATGCTCTCTCCTAAATTTAACTGTGAAGATGTCTCCAGTTTAATAGAAAGTGAGTTACTGAATCTAATTTCTACTTTTACTACCAATTACTAATTGATCTTTATTACATTAAATTCAAATTTCCTTCTTCATTTCACCCATGTTAATTAGCTATTTTAGTATGATGCCCATGAATGCTATATTTTGTCACATTTATAAAAATAAATTACAAACCAAAAATTAGCTTCTGATGGAGATAAGAAAGACCCATCCCCGCCATGGAATGTAAGCACTTCCCTGACAATAGCTACTGACACTAGAAACAAAAAGTGAGACTAACAAAACTCACACACAGAATCTATGTGCTTACAACAGCCTGTCCCACTTACAAGGATCATTTGAATTTGATTGGTTTTTTAAGCACACAGAAAAACACATGCTAGAATCACTTGGCAGGTTTGAGGATGTGAGAACAATTTGAAGAGGCAGTGACACCAGTGGACTGAACCTGGTCGAGGAACCAGGACCATCTCAATTCTAACCACAGCTGTGCTACTGGCTTGCCCTGTGACCTTAGGCAAATCACTTTTCCACATTTGTAAAAAATAGTGATATGAATTCTTCCCTGCCTCATAGAAGTGACATGACACTAGCCAGCTACAGCACAATAAAAATATAAAGTGCTAAATATTATTCATAACAATACTTCTATTTTACTTGACGACTACCACTAAACATATTGACACAATGCATCAGTTCTTTTGCCTTCTAGATTATATATTTTGGAAGTGAATAACTATAGTTTGCCTTAGATTCTTGCAATTATAAAGAGATACACGTATGTGTTTTATGGGGGAGAAGAGGAGTATTACCTATCTGTTTATGGAATGTACTCAGTGCTTCAAAATATACTCAGCTATGAGAAAAATGAAACAGCAATCCCAATCCAAATATTGGTTTCTAGATGTCAGTTAAATAGGGATTTTTTAGCTCAGTAGTTTCATTTTGATCTAGTTGGGCCACAGTAATAGCTGTAGTACAAAGCCAGTCAAGCATGTAACTGAAAACTTGCTGTTGAGGTAAACGGCTGTATTGATCAGAACCATCTGGTAAAGAAGAAAAGTGAATCAGGGCAAAATGATAAAGATTTTTGTTTTTAACAGAATGCAGCTTAGAAAGAAAATAAAAAGAAGGGAAAAATATTGTGTATCAATGACTATCACTGCACCCTAAAGCCAACTGTATTTTTGACTTTGTTAAAATGACAGCTTCAACTAAACACACAAGGGTACATCTACACTGCGGCGCTATTTTGGGATACCGGAGGTATCCTGAATAGCTATGCCATGTCTTTTAAACCAGCCCATTATTTTGAAATAGATTTCTAAATAACGGGCTCACTATTTCAACGTCCCTGTAACCCTCGTTCCACGAGAGTTAAGGGACATTTTGGAATATCAGTTTATTTTAAAATTTGGCACTGTGTAGACTGTGGCAAACTTCAAAATAAGCAATTTCGAAATTAGATTGAAATAAGATATGCAATTTGCATAACTCAAATTGTGTGTCTTATTATGAGCTAAGAGTGCAGTGTAGACGCACCCGAAGAATCTATGAAACCCTAAAGTCGCACATTTATTACATTTACATAATTCAGCTGACATGGTTTCGAATCCCAAATCATGAAAACAGACCAACCTACAATTAGCTTTAAATCCAGAGCTCTAAAATCAGTGAATAGAACATAAGAGATATGGCAGCACCTCCAGTTCTGTGGTCTAATATACTATAAATAATTAAATAAGAAAAAAATTACATTAACTTCACTGGCTATTCAGTGTCTAATAGACTCAGATCTTACACACACACCCATTCACACATAAGTACATATGTAGGCAGGTTTATTTCCTTCTGAACTAATCAGGAGGCGAGTGTCTTGACTTGGCCACTGGGTAGTTTTCTCAAAGTACAAACTGTGACGTAGTGGGGGTACCTGGCTGGTTTCTATGCTGCTGGCTCTGGGGTAACCCCCACTGGCTGTAGTTGGTACCATGGCCCAGCAAAACAGGATGAATCATTATGCAAAGGGTGTCTCAACCTGTCTGACCAGCCACCCCCCATGGAGAGGAACAAAGGAAGGTGGATGCTGCCCTGGCTGGGGGGCAGGGCTGGAGGAGAGTTAGTTAGTTTCTGTCTGGGAGCATGGAGGAAGCAGCCTCAGCAAAGCCGGGGGGGGGGTTAGAAGCCGAGACCCGTGCCCCATATCAAGGGGGGCTGAGGCATCCTAGGCCTACCCTGTAACCTGATGACATCTGTGCTGTGCTGTATACTGGGGAAGCAATAAACCACCTCTATTCTACTGGCTGGCGGAGTCTATTCGTGCCATTTCGGGGGTGCAGGAGACGGGGGACCCCAACGCGCCGTCACACAAACATACTATCAGATTGTACTATAGCCTCTGAGAACAATTGGGTGATGAGGTCCTTGACTACAGATAGCCGTTCTTGCATGAGAATTTCCTTTCCTAAATAGAATTTGATCCTGCCTGCTCAGCTTCCAGTGAAACCAGACAAGTTGGGGGTTGCAATAGACTGAAAAATCGAGACCTTCTGACATCTATAGGAACAGTGCTTATAGGGCACTTGCCCACCAAAAGGCAGTCCATCCCTGTGCAATCCCTAATAGTCATGAGACTGTTGGGAGAACTTTTCCAACAGAATCACCATAGACTAACACTTCTGTTGCAATCTACTGCTTTCACATACTTTGCTGTATGCTGCTGCTAGACTATTCATTGTTTTTTGCTGTATAGTATCATTGCACAGCGTTGGTAATAGAAGGACAACACACCAGATCTCTTCCCAGGTCAAGAAAATTCTCAAGCCCCCACAAAAAACCTAACGGTGTGGCTATCACAGAAGAGGCAAAGCCCTACTGATTACTTTGCAGCTGCGGAGTACCAAAGAGAAACCACAGGGAAAAGATACACATTATATGGCATGCATCTGAAAACACTCATCAATACAAATTATGGATCCTCTTCAAACGTAATAGGGTCTATTCTCCTTCTCCCTGGACATGTGTAACACTCATTAATGTCAATGTATGTGCTGCAAGCAAGAGAGAGAAGCTCAGATGCCTAAGGATTGTGAATAATTCACAGGGTAAATTACTGAAAAGAAAAAATAACAAAATACACGAGACCAAATTGTGAGTTGCTATCAACTGGCACAGCTCCACTGACCACAATGGAGCTACACCCAATTACACCTGCTTCTCGGTAGCTAGGACATGTGTTGTAAGTCTTACCTGCAACAGTAAGCAGCAAGAGATCCCAGGAGGAGCAGCAGGAACAGTACAGTTATACAAACTGCTATTGCGATGTTCCGCTTCTTTATTTGCTCCACGTGCTGCTGGTCCCACCATTCCAAGTCACTGAACTGACAGCGCTCCCCCACGTAACCTGTCACACAGCTGTCAAAAAGCAAATGAGCACACATGGTAACCGACGGCAGAAAAGAAAAATGTCTCTGTTTTAATCACCTGTAGTGTTGCTCCATCAAGTGCAACCCTTATGGAAGATTCTTGGAAAATGTAACAGGGATTAAACAAACCAATAGGGTTTGAAGAAATTCCTCTAACAGCCTACAGAATTTAGTAGCAAGATGTTGTCTATAGAAACATTCTAAAGAATTTTATACATGGGATTTCATTCCTTAATTTTCTATTAAATTTTTTTAGGCATTTTCATAAGAGAATAGCTTTCTGAGATTTTCAAAGTAGCATCTTCCAACAGGTAAGTTTCAATTTTTTTTCTACAAAAGACAGTTTAAAAGGTAGACAAGGCAAGACATATGAGATCTCGCTGAATAATTTGGTTTTATTTTCAAACTTTTTTTGTTAAAAGCAATGGAGGAAGAGGAAGTAGGGGGAGGGTTACAAAAACTCCTATGAATATCTTCAGGATCTTTTACATTTTGAAGGAATAGTTACCGCTTTTTGTCTTAAAATGACCATTCAGTGTAATGACCCCAGACACACAAAAAAGTTCATGAAATTGACTAAAAACTGAAAAATAAAAGGGATCTCCCCAGTCTAGTTTTATTGTCCAAGATGAGTTAAATACAAAAAAGGGAACAATGCAACATAAACAATGAAATGTAAACCAGATTTTTAAAAATTCTTTCAGGGTTAATAAGGTAGAACCAAATCCTACTCACCAAACTGGTCTTACTGAAGTCAACAGAACCACCCATGAATAAAGCAAGTAGGATGTGGCCAATAGAGCCCTTTGCTGATGATTTCAAATGCTACGCTAATATTAATTATTAAATTAAGACCATGCACCTTGTTTCTGTCCCACGGTATGACAAATATTCACTAGAGCTAGAACAATGCTAATACGGTTTTGATGTAAAACCACAATACATTCCATACAAGCCAAATGGATCACTCTCTAGCATGAACATTTTAATCAAATTAAAATAAATTATGTTTGGCATGTGCAATTTATTGCTCAACACATAGTTTCCCACCTCTAACCCCATAACTACATTCTTTTATTAAACTGAATGCTCCAATCTAAATGAGGAAATACTGCCATCTAATGTGCAAATATAGAAATAACCATTAAAAAGTAAGTCCTCTGCCATATAGTGCATAGTTTTAAAGACAAATAATCTTAGCATGCAGCAGCAGGGCTGATGAAATGGGTTCCAGCCCACGAAAGCTTATGCACAAATTCATTTCTTAGCCTTGAAGGCACCACAGGTCTTGTTGTTTTTGCTGAAACACACCTCATATGAAGATTTAATGCACATCAGGCTAGTGCAAAAGAGATGTATACCCCAGCTTGCCACAAACTGAGGTCATGTCTTCATATCGATGAAAACCATTGCTGTTGTGATTGATCTTCCAGAGTACGATTTAGCGGGTCTAGTAAAGACCCACTATATCGAACCCAGAGGGCGCCCCCATCGATGGTGGTATTCTGCTCCTTGCAAACAGTAAAGGTAGGCTGACAGAAGTGTTTGCTCTGGTGGAGACTGTGTGGAAACTCAAATGAAGGCACATTGAATCTTAATTTGACCTTGCCCTAAGAGTTTGCATAGATACCCCTGCCTTCTTGAGCTTTGGAAAGTATTCATATAAGGTCTGATAGGCAAACCATTTCTATTGCTTTCTTAACAAAAGACAGGACAATGCAGCACTTTAAAGACTAACAAGATGGTTTATTAGGTGATGAGCTTTCCGTGAAGAAGTGGGTCTGGCCCACGAAAGCTCATCACCTAATAAACCATCTTGTTAGTCTTTAAAGTGCTGCATTGTCCTGTCTTTTGTTGCTACATCTCTATTACTGTTGTTTTCTTCCAATTTCTTTTTAATGAACTGTGTTTTTTAGAGGACTGTTGTATTTGATAATTTCACACAGACTGCCCAAAAGGGAACAAAATCCCTGAGTTTCTAGGTGGAAGTGTAAATGTACTATATTGGAGAAGAGGCATTGGTCTGAAGGGTCATGGAGGGAGGTGTCCTCTCCCATCTCAGAACACCACAAAAGGCTGCAGCAAACCAACCCAGGGAGAAGCCGAAAAACCAAGGAAAAGACACGAGTTGCCAAGGAAAAGACACGAAAAACCAAGGAAAAGACACGAGGGGTGTGGATGACTAAATATTATTATTGAAACACACATACACAAATATATAAACATACATGTAGGAGGAGAAATGAAAAGTAACTGTTAGACATCTGATATTCTTTAAAGCTGTGGGCACTCTGGTTTGGCCAATTACCCTACAAAGGCATTGTTTACACTGCACACCTCTAGCAGTGGCACAGAGCGAATGTGTAGCTATGCATTGCAGCAAAAAGCAGGCTGCGTTCACAGAGGCATGTAGCTACATGTGTCAGTGAAAGGCTGTGGTGGGAACGGGGCTGAGGTGGGGTTGGGGGGAGGACAGCCAGGAAAGGCTTGGAAGTGAGGAGCTGATGAAGCCTTTCTGCACTGCTGTTGTCTGTCCTTGCCTCTGGAAAAGACTCCTATAGTGTAGAAGCAACAGGACTCTATGCTGCTAAAAACAGCAGTGTAGCCAGGGGAGGCACTGCTTGAGTAAGGAGGATACATACCCACAGGGATCAAGCGTGACCTTATTCTACTCAACTCAGTCTTTACTGCCTATATGCCCATGCTATAAGGCAGGGGTGGGCAATAATTTTTAATGGGGGGAGCCACTCCAAGATTTTGGTAAGAGGTCAAGGGCCACACTTCTGTGGAAGCCATGTGGGGTCTGAGATGGCAGGTGGGGTGCAGAAGGGAACTTGAGATAGAGGACTGGGGTGCTGAAGCAGGTGTGGGGTCTGAGAGGGAGTTTGTGTGAAGGAGAGGGTTGTGATCTGGATCAGGGACTTGGAGATGCAGGGTCCAGGAGAGGATTCTGGCCTGGGGGAGGGGAATAGGAGGGGATGCAGGGTCTGGGAGGGAGTTGTGACTTGGAGGAGGTGGGGAGAGGGGATACAGAGGGTTTGGGTGGTGACCTGAGGCAGGTAGTTGTGGGCGGGAGAGGAAGTGGGGTGTGAGAGGCAGGCTATGGCTGGGAGACCATGCCTGTCTGCTGGGCTGACTGGTCCACGTGGCTTTGTCCAGTACTTGGAGGGAGGAAGAAGGATTCGCTCTCCCTCTACCTCAGCAAAATTTCTCAGCTCCTATTGGCTGAAAACTGGCCAATGGGAGCTTAGAGATTTTGCTGGTGGCAAGGACAGTGCACAAATTCTCCCGTCTCTCCCCAGCTTGCAGAGCAATTAGCAGCCAGCTGTTTAAAACAGCATGAGCTGCTGGCGAGGTAGCCATGGGCTGGATTTGGCCCTCTAGCTGCCTCATGCCCACCCCTGCTGTCATAACCAAGACAGCTGACCAGCAACCTGGAGACTAAAGGGTTAACTATGTCTCCTGTCCCTAGTCAGGTATCTGGTCAGCCAATAACAATGCAGGTAGGGATTTCAAACTGGGACAAAGGAATTTTTATATTTTCCCTCCTTTTTCTGGGGAGAGAGGTTTATTCCAGATAACAGGGAGATGGGAAGAAATCAAGCGCTACTGTTAACTGCAATGTTTGGGAACACAGTGGGCACCAGTTATATCAACTGAATATGATCTATGGCAAAATACTTAATTGTTGGTCTATAGGGAAATGCCCATCACAGCATCTCTCTAGGATGGCACAGGTGATACAAAGGTTTATACTTACGTGCATGCATAATCTTGGAGAATTGAAACATAAATACAAACTCCGCCATGGAGACAATAGGAGTCATGTGAAGATGGACAGCCCATAAAACCATCTTGTTCAATGGAAATGTTGTCACCACTGGTGCTAGTGGTAGACTGCAGAGCAGATTCTGAAATACAATATTTCACATGCATGCATATCTTAGTTGTTGGCTAAAACTGGCAAAATAGCTTGGTACAGAGTTTCAGCATTTGTAGGCAAGATAAGAAGTAAGAATCTTTAACCCCAACAAACAGCTTCACCCATAAGATTTGCCCACATGCACATGGTTAAGGTGGAACTACAATAGATACTTTCTTTGTCTCTGAAAGTTTATAATGTTCTTCCATTACTACCACACAAACAACCAGAGCAAACTTAAGCTTTAGATCTTTAAAACACTATTTCCAGAGCTGAATCAGGCATAAAGTCATAGAATCATTGATTACTAGAATTGGAAGGGACCTTGAGAGGTCATCAAGTCCAGTTCCCTGCCCTCACTGCAGGATCAAGCACTTTCTAGATCATCCCTGATAGATAGCTATGCAACCTGCTCTTAAATATGTCCAGTGATGGAGATTCCACAACTTTGCTGGACAATTTATTCTAGTGTTCAACCACCCTGACAGGCAGGAAGTTTTTCCTAATGCCCAACCTAAACTTCCCTTGCTGCAATTTAAGCCCATTGCTTCTTGTATTATCATCAGAGGCCAAGGGAAACAATTTTTCTCTCTTCTCCTTATAGCACCCTTTTAGGGTGCATCTACGCAGCACAGTAATTTTAAAATAACTAACGTTATTTTGAAATAACAATGAGAGCGTCTACACAGCAATTCCATTATTTTGAAATAAATTCAAAGTAACAGATGGCTTATTCTGACTTCTGTAAACCTCATTCCACAATGAGTAACTCCTATTCTGAAATAGCTATTTCGAAATAGCTGTAGAGTAGACACTACACTGCTATTTCAAAAGAACTCCTCCCCAAGGCCATTCAAAGTAATTACTCCCCAGTGCCTCCTTGGGCTTTAAATCAAGGTAGCACATCCACATTAGGGAAGCCTGCCTCGGACTAATTTTGAGGCTTCCCTGTAGTTTAGATGTGCTATTTAAAAATAAGGCTATTTTGGAGTATTTCTTCCGGAATAGCTTATTTTGAACTACGTATGCAGTATAGACATACTCTTAGATACTTGAAAACAGCTATCATATCCCCTCTCAGTCTTCTCTGTTCTAAACTAAACAAGGCCAATTCCTTCAGTCTTCCCTCATAGCTCATGTTTTCTAGGAGTTTAATCATTTGTGTTGCTCTTCTCTGGACATTCTCCAATTTCTCCACATCTTTCTTGAAAAGTATTATTTCAGGTTACAATTTCTTAGTAACAGCTAAAATTGCTGAAAAATTAAACCCTTGGAAAGAGGAATGAGAATCTGTTGAGCACCTTCCATTAATGTCACAATTTCCTTCACTTTTCTGCAGAGACAGGTCTCTAAGAATTTTGCAGAATGTTTTCTCTAACTAGACCAGGCCTGCCAAGCCTTTTGATCCAGTCTGCCCTGCCAGGACTCGGAGGCAGGCTCTCTGTCTGCCGCAGCCCCAGGCTGCTCAAATCGGCTTGCTCTGGACCAGAAACCTGGGCATTTTCGGTTCTTCTGTGATGCAAAGAGGCCTATCTATGCACTATTACCCCAAGGAGGGCTGGATTAACCTCCCACTAATGTTGTTCTGAGAACTAGCAACTGATAGTTGTCTGCCATGTGCCTGATAGATAGGATGCGGACAGGGTTATGGTGTTGCGGGTGCACCAATTCCATAGGTTGAGAGCTTCTATGCATAAAGAGATCAGATCCTCCTTGCCAATTTATATAAAATATGCATGCCACATTCTTGGTAAGAATGAGGATGGCCTTGTTCTCTCCATGTGCCTCTAGGTGCAGGCCGGAGCTGCAATGAGTGGGTGGGGGTAGCATGCAAAGTCTCTCTCCCACCCCCAAATGTGTGGTACAGAGAGGCACATGGAGGGAGCAGCCAGCCATTTTGAGCAACCTGGGAGCCTGCCTCAAGATTCTGCAGGGCTACTGGCCAGGGGCCATCTGGGTAAGTGCCTCCTGGCCATAGCCTGCCTCTGGTACTCCAGCCCCTTCTGATCCCCAACTCCCTGCCCCTAATCACCATCCAAATCCTCCACACCCCCCATCTCCCATGTCACAAGTCCCTCCTGGATGCTGCACTCCATCCTATGCTCCTCCCCTGGCCAGAATCCTCTTCTGTACCCATACCCTCTTCCCTATCCTGAACTCCATTCCTCCGCCCCAGCTCACAACCCCATACTTCACCCAAACTCCCTCTCAGACTCCACAGTCTCTCCTGCATCCCAGTCCCTTACTCCAAGCTCCCGTCTGCTCTCAACCTCCATCCCAGACATTGCATCCCCTCCATGGAAAAGTGCGGCCCTCAACCACTTACCAAAATCTTGGCATCAAAAATTATTTCCTACCCCTCAACTAGACAGTATATCAACAAGAGGAAAATTCACCCCTAGGTAGAGGACCAGCACAGGGACCACATTAAGGCCACATTTTCAAAGAAGATCAACTCCCATTTAGGCACATCAGCAAAGTTCAGGGCCTATTGTGACACTAATGGCTAGATTTCCACAAGAACGTAGCAGCCAACACGCCCATCTCTGCTGAAAACCTGGCCACTTATTTTTGTGACTAAGGAGAGCACTCTTGCAAAGCCGTCCTTTAAATTCTATTCCAAGGGCTTAAGTATGACTTAAACAATAGTAGTACCAACATTCTATATAGCACTTCCCCTCCCCTCAATAAATCTCAAAGCATTTTACAAAGAAAGTCAGTATTATTATCTGCATTTTACGATGAGGAAACAAAGACGCAGGGAGGGGAAGTGACTTAACTTAGTCATATAGCAGGCCAGTAGCAGAGCCTGGCCTAGAAGACAACCCTCTCGAGTGCCATGCTAGTGCTCTATCCACCAAGCCATAATGCCCTGGGAGACTTTACCAAGCCTCTGTGCTCTGCAGAGGAGCTGAACCCACAGAGAACATGACAAATAACTTGACATTGTGAGCCTTCGGTCATTTCTCTAGAGGGGCATGGTTTTAGCCCAACAGAGAACTATATCTGCTCTGACAGAAGACAGCAGTGATTAGCTGCACATGCCATTACAGTTAGAAATCAGTCGCTGATGCTTCGAACACTGATGCTTCAAACAAAAGGAACCACACACTCACCATTCCCAGCTTTATAAAATCAAAATCTGGGTCTCCTCACCCCACCTCTACTTGAGAGGTGCAATTTGCAAAATAGCAGCATCCAGAACCAATTTAATTGGATTCATAGGCTGCCTGACACATGATTATTCTGAATTTTCCTGGATGATTTATCTCTGTGACAGCTCAACCTTCCTTACTTAGGGAACAGGTTATTTGGCTTATTCACTAACTTTACTCACCAGTACAGTTGGCCCTGGCTCCAGATGGACCACTGAGGCAAGTGCAGGTGTAGTTTCCTTCAGTATTGGTGCAGACAGTGTTGTCTCTGCATGTGTGCATCCCCAGCTGGCATTCATCGATATCTGTCACCCAAACAGTCTGCACTTAGAAGAATGAATGGCTCAGAGCGGTGGTCGAAACAGGCAGCAATGGGAGAAATGCTGCAGAGCCTCCCTCCACAAAATGTTCTTGGCAGCATGTGTGATGAAAGCAGGGCCGGCATGATTATGTTCAGGACCTAGTACTAATGAAATGCTGGAGCTGCACACTGGGCCCGGGGCTGCAGTAGCTGTTCCCCCAGTGCCGCAAAGAGTTTCCTGGCCAGCAGTGCGGTGAGCCGGGCTGCCCACGGCTCCCTCACCACCAGCACCCACAGGGGGGGGGGGGGGGAGGGGAGAGACCAGAGGAGGGGCCTGCCACTGCCAGGTGCAGAACCACAGCTTCAGGGTGCGCCTCATGTAGGACGTGTCACCGGGCTAATAAAGTGTGGGGCCATGTGCAGGGGAACCGACTGCACACGGCTCATGCCAGCCTTGGATGAAAGCGCAAGAAAACATGCTCTCTGAGGGAGGAGGACAGCTAGGCCTACTCAGAGGACTGCTGTGTTGGGAGAAGTGCAGTTGGATCCCCCACAGGAGAGGGAAGGCAGAAGCTTCCCCCATAAAATGAAAGGGCAGAGAAAGCACAAGAGATGCATGAGACGGCCTAAGGCCTGGCCTACACCAGACATTTTCTCTTAATATTTCCCATCACAGCTAGCACCAGTGCAGCAGTAGCCATTCACCTCCTCTGAACAGGCGTCCCCTGTAGGAAAAGGCTAAGGCAGTATAAGCCGATAAGCCTCAGGTCTGTAGAACAATTTCTCAGCTAAACAAGGTATAAGGCTTAAAAGCCTGAGCAAAAGCAGCCAACCAAGAGTAAGCCTAGATCATCAGATACCACAAGATGAACCACCGTCGTGACTAAACTGCTGACAACAACCACAAGATGCTTGTTTATACCAGCTTGGCCTATTTCAAATGAGGAACATCAGCAGATTCCCAGCCACAAAATGCCATGGTAATTAATTGATGCATATGCTAATAGGGTTGAGGTTAATGGACTTATAACCTATGGAAGAAAGACATCCCAACATTAGGAGGGCAAAGAAATACAACTAAGGGAAAGGGAACAAAACTCCTACTGAATAAGCATTAGCGGAGCCATCCTGTGCATGGGATGGTTGGGGGCAGCTGCCCCAGACCCCATGCTTCTAGGGACCCTGCAGCAACCATCCTATGGATGGGAGGGGCCTGAAAGAGTACAGGGGGTCTGGCACAGCCACAGCAGGGGCCACTCCCACCCCACCCTCGCCGTGGTGACAGGAGCCAAAGCGGCTGAGCGGCCTGCTCCAATCCGCCCTGCCACCCTTTCCCAGCACGCTGCTCTTGGCTTCTCAGTGGTGGTGGGAAGCAGAGCTCTCCAGCACCAGAGTTCTCCAGTTCCCTCCACCATAGAGAAGTGGGGTGGGAGGGTGGTAGAGCGGGGCAGAGGATAGCGGAGGGGGGCAGGCTGCTCTAGCTCCCATGATCCACATGCTGGTGGTGGGGAGGAAAACCCTTCTGCCACCACACCAAGCCCATCATCCCCCAGGCTGAGCTGCTCAGGGAAGGAGGGAAGGCGGTGGGTTGGGGCAGAGCAGGGGTAGGGCTTGAGGAAAGGGAGGAGCAGGAGTAGGGTTGGGTGGGACTTGCAACAGGGAGGGTGGTCCCAGGCCCTGCACGTGGGGTGCTGGGGGTAGGGGCGTTGCCCAAAGCCCCACATGCCTCTCAGGACGGCCTTGCACTTTAGACATAGTCACATCAGCATAAAAGTACAGAAGTTGAATCCTAGCCTGCATGACAAAGAGCAGGAGGAAGACAATGTCTAACATTTCAGATTACAACACAAGGGATGATGTGCGTATATGGATGCAACAGACAGTCATTCTGTGTTATTTCTATCTACCTGCTAGGCTGGTATGTTTGCAGTTTGCTAACTGTGATAATACAACTATTACAAATATAGATTTATGCCTAAGTGTGAGAGGTGTAACTGTGCATGTCAGGGGTCGCAACTGAATAGTAATTTTAATAATACTAGGTCAGATCTTGGGACAAGAACCTCCCAACCCTCAGAGTGGTAACTGAGAATTCTTAAATAATCAATACAATTAACACACAGTCAATAAATCAGGCAACACAGGTTAGACCAAGAGGTGGTTAAGAAGCCTTCAGCTAGTGCTTCCAGCAATGCTAAAAACAAGGGGAAAAAATCTCACAGTCTAAAGATGTGGTTAGGTCATGTGAAATTTCAAATAAACTCTGGAAATTTCAGGTAAACTCAGCCTTTTGAGGTTCGCCAATTTCTATTTTTTCCAAATTTAAGCTGAGACAAAGAACTACATCCTGCAGAACATGGTGTCCTTTAGAAGGCTCCCATTTCTGTCTCTCTATAGGGTTCTATATTTCAAAATCAGCTTCAGTTTCATTTCTCCATGTCAGCATCTCATTACATACCAAGTTTTGAAAAAAAAAAAAAAAAAAAAAAGTAGCTGAGATACTATGGTTTTAAAATCTAGCTGCTACGCATAAAGTGAATTAACTTTTTCCAAATCATTTTTGTTAGGTACAAGTGCAATCCTAGATGTGCAGCGGTTCTGAACTAGAGGTGTTAAAATAGTATAATAGGGTAGCCTACCTTTATACTGAAGAGCCTGCAGGGAATTCTCCCCGGGAGAAGGGCCGCCCGCACTTGCTGGCCAGGTTCCCAGGGCAGAGGCTTCACTGAGTATACGGGCACCATTAACTGATAAGCATTTACTTATCAGTTAAATGATTAGTCATATTTATACCCAAACATCTCTATTCTGAGCTGCCTAGTTATGTACATATCAAGGGAACCTGAACTATAAAATAAAGGTTACTGCTGGTGTACACATTTCCCTCCACATTCCCACAGGCATGCTGCCAGCCTCTGGCCTTGATTTTTTGTTTTTTTTAAACAACCTTGTTCTAACCTAATAGCCTGAGCTAATGCCCAGTGAAATCAATGGGAAAAGACCCACTGAATTAATGTTGCCTGATTTATTGTGTGTTAATTATATTGATTATTTAAGAATTCCCAGTTAACACTCTGAAAAAGTCCCACTGATTTTAATGAGCCATTGATCAGACTGTAGAGAGAAAAAAAGACGAGAAAAAGGTATTTTAAAAGGGTGAAAGGGAAATGAAGACTCATGTAAAGCCCTGCTCAAGCTTTTCATTATTCTAAAACTGATAACAGGCCTGGTCTTCACTCCTACTTGAAAAAAAATGGATTTGAAAAAAATAAACCTTAAAGGAAATGAACTGAAGACATGATGTCAGAATCCACGTTCTGGCCAATAGAACCAGTGGATTTGATTATTAACACATTTTTCAATGCACTCAAATTGTAAATGTCAACACCTTGAGGCTCATGCCTATTAAACTATCCTAGGATTATCTGAGGAGTATTATGACACACTCAATACCTGTTTTAGTTTATATGCATGGCAACAATTTCCAATAGATTTCTGCTGGTTCACCCATCCCCTATCCCCCATCCTAGTCACCGAAGTATAACCACCGGGGGAAGTATCCATTGACAACTAGAGGCTATGAATACCGAGCAGCTGCTGATGTTGCCACACGTCAAACAGTAAGGAAAGAGCCAATAAGGTAGAGTAAATATCTTTCCTGAGGAGCTTACCAGTCTAATATAAGTATACAGCAACCTATGTTATTTCTTACCAAAGTAGTGGTATGTATGATCATTATGGATGCTTGACGCAAGTCTCCCTTCTTGACATGTAAGCAGATGAAGGAATGCTCTCCTTACACCTAGCTGGGAGGGGAGAGAGACCCTGGGTGTCTCTATGTAAATACAGTTTGCTCCTGCTTTGCTTAGATTTGATCATCAGCAGATGGAGTGGTATTTTGTTCATTGTAATCAACTTATTTTGACCCAACACCAGGTATGCTTGTATTAAATGAAGGGATAGCTGAAATATGGTTACCAACGTTGGTAATTTTGGGGGAATACAGAAAAGCAGGACTGTGCCAAATTGTTCCAGAGGAATGGGCTCACAGTTAGCAGAAAAAACCTTGCTAAGCAGAGGTTTGATTTTCAGATCCCTGTGAGAGTAAGAGGAGGTGTAAGAGAATAAGAGGAAGGTTATTCTGGTCAGGAAGCTACATACCTTCCTGGTTTGATCTCTCCCACTCCCCCTTCCTTCCCCTCCCCACCCCCCACCCCCACGTCAAAGAACGAGCTAAATAGGCATCACCTGTCATGTTAATTGTTTTGAAGCTGTATTTCTTCTACCTGGCTTGCTAAGAGTTGAAATCACTGGGAGCTGAAATCACTTGAGACTAATGAGAAAATGTCGCAGCCAAGAGGTGGATGGCAGTAGATGGGGAATGACAGAGGTGATGGAGAGAGGCAATGAATGGTCAGCAGGGTGGTGAACAGGCAGATGGCAAGTGACTAGCAGAGTAAGATGCCTCTTTACCTCCCCCAACCCAAGATGAGAGGTGAACTCTGAGGATGCAACTCTAGAGTCTGCCCTGACCAAGGGCAGCACATGTGAGTAGGGTGCATAGAAGGGATGGACATGTGACGGGACATTTAGATTATTGGACTTAATAACCTGAGAAGAAAGACACTGCTCAGCCTACTTAGGGCGGGACTTTTACTCATGGTTTATGTTTATTATCCATATTTGTGGTGTTTTCCCAGATAAATGCCTAGTTAGCTCCCTCCCTTTTATTTAAAGTTTCTTTTCTACATTCAGCCTCTCGGCAGCGCCCAGGGGCAGTGTATGAATTTCCCATGTTACTGTGTGAGGACTCGTCTCACTTCGGTATTGGATTAATGAATAGGAACCCCCTAGATATTGAAATCAGCTTTGGCTGCTGCTGGTAGGCAGGATATAGACACATAGCTGAGCCAAATCATTAGACTCATCTCTCAGCCTTCGGTCACGGCCTCCCATTCACCCTGTTGCCCTCACCATAACAACGAAGCCCATCTCCAGTATAGCCCTCCCGACACTTGCAGACGTAGCCACCTTCAGTATTGATGCAGTCTGACAGGCGTCGATTACAGCCATCCATGTTAAGAGTACATTCATCCACATCTATGAGAAAAACAATGTTAGAAGCCAACGGACACATTCTTCATGGAGCAATCAAGTAACATGCTGAAATGATGGGAAAGAAATGACTATATGAGATTCACCCACAAACTATCCTGTGACCTTTGCTTTGGGCTTGCGTACCCTAGAAAGATAAGCCAGCCTACATTAGGTCAACTTACCATCACAGGAGTAATTGCATCAAGGCTCCTGGCTCTACACTGGGAATACAACTGCAGCAGGAACTAAGATCCCAGGAGATAGCTGGACTCTTAGCGGTGGGGAATCTCTGTGCAGCACCAGGGCACCCCATAGGGAGCAGGTACCAGGTGGGTTCAACCTGGCTGGGAGTGGGGAGCTGGACTTTAGCTAGAACCCCCAACCGTCTCATGGCTTTATTACCAATTTCAGAGCTGTACAGTTAATAAGAATGACAACCAACAGCTGGCATAAGTAACACAGCATCTACATGGACACCCCTCATGGTAGCTGCATTATTATGTTGGTGTAATAGGGCATTTACTGCAGCGGGAGCAAGGCTGGAGCATGTACACCGACGTAAGCAGGTCGATGTAAGCTGGGTGATGTCAACCTAACTTTGTAGTGCACACCAGGCCTTTTGCTTCTAAAGTATGGGGGAGAGTGAGCAGGGAGTGGAAACAGTCCTTAGTTCTGTCCATAAATTGAGGTTGTGATTTTCAAAAGAGCCACCTAACCCCCACCCAGCTGGATTCCTCGCTCCCTTAGGCTTCCTTAGGCTACCAGCCTGATTGATTGATTGATACTGAACTCAAAGAAAAACTGAACTCAACTTCACCCCAAAGGGCATCCCACTCCAAAATGCTGGATGCCCATGTCATGTGATCAGTGATTTAACTCCCATTACCACATGTTCCCATCAGGCACCTTCAAATACATCGGCCGTCCCTCAGTGCCCACTGATACAGATGGGCTTTGCGGAGTATGTGAAAGGCTAATTTGGACTGGCAGTGAGGGAGTATCCTATCTAAAACCGAAGTGCAGATTACTCTGTCAGCAGCCCCTCTCTTTTATATCATAGGGCATCAAACTTGAGTATCCCTGCTGATCTCAGTTGTGGCACAAATTTATGTGAGAAACATACTTGACTGAATAAATTTGTATTTAAACCAAAAAAGGGTTGTAAGGGGTATGAGGTATAATGTAATGTTTAGCTACTAAGTCTACTTTCCCAGGAAGGAACACCACCCATCCCCCCAAGGGAGTCAACAGTCACATTGGGCCCCTGGGCAAGGTGTGGGAGGTGGTTCTGCATCCCAGAAGGGGTGGAGCCTCATGCAGAAGAGGTGGAGCCAAGGGAAGCTCCCCCTCAGTGCCACTCAGAGCATGCCACACCATCCGCTGCCCCCAAGAACTGCCCAGAGCGTGCCACACAGTGCTCTGGCAATGACTTAAAGTGCCCAGGGCTCTGGGTGGTAATGACTAGAAGCCCCAGACCCCTTAGAATCACTAGGTTCCAGAACAGTTGCCCTCTTGCCCCCGACCACTGGCAAGCCTCCACCCACCCGCACTCTCACTTTACCCTGGCTTGCCCTCTGATCTGCAGTACCTGGCTTTCTATTTAAGTGAAAAGCTTAAATAAATACTCCGATCCATGTGGATATAACCCAATCACCAAACTGCCTCCTTTCTTGCACTCCAGAATCACTATAGAAAGAGGAATAGAGTCTTTGAAAACAGATAACATTTTAAGGGGAAAAGGTACAATGTTCTCCATTTAAATACATAATATGGTTTTGAATATTGCCAAGTCCCTGGACTCAACAACATACTATGTTGCATAGCAAGGTGCTTCTTTTTATCAATTTTGTTGACTTCCAATTTCATTGGATGTCTCCTTGTTCTAGTATTGTGTGAAAGGGCAAGCTGGATTGCCCCATTTATTTCCTCTGTGGTGTTGATTATTTTGTAAACCTCTACCTTATCCACTTTTACTTGTCTCATCTCTAATTACATAGTCTTAGGGTATGTCTACACTGCAGAGTTTTTCTGGAAAAACAACCATTTTCCTGGAAAAACTACACTTGTGTCCACACTGCTATTGCATTCTTTCAACAAGTCGAAGAACAGAGGGGCTTTTCCGACAGTGGTAAACCTCTTTGTACCAGGAAGAAGACTTTTTCTGAAAAAGCTTTTTCAGAAAAAGCCGTGTGTGGATGCAAAAGAGAGTGTTTTTTTAAAAGAAGAGGCCTCCAGGGAAAAGCACAGGTGCCCTGGTGGCCACTCCATCCAGAGTAATCACAACTGAAATGCAAGATAGTGTCCAACTGAAGTGGACGCTATCTTTCAAAAAAGCCGATTGCTTTTTCGATGCACTTTGGCAGTGTGGACGCTCTCTTTCGGAAGAAGTTTTTCCAGAAGATCTCTTCCGGAAAAGCTTCTTCTGAAAGAAGACTGCAGTCTAGACGTAGCCTCAATATATCACTCCTGCTCATCTCTCACACCGGTTAAAGTGTACATATTTAGTGGCTGCAGCCTGCAGAAACTAGAAATGCAAGGGCTTTTACATGAGCATCAATGTTCATTGTTCAGAATGGAGAGGGGTTACTAGTGGTGTCCCCCAACAGTCAGTCCTGGGACCAATCCTGTTCAACTTATTCATAAATGATCTGGAGAAAGGGGTAAGCAGTGAGATGGTAAAGTTTGCAGATGATACCAAACTGTTTAGGATAATCAAGACAGAAGCAGACTGTGAGAGACTCCAAAAAGATCTCACCAAACTGACTGATTGGGTAATAAAATGGCAAATGAAATTTAATGTGGATAAATGTAAAGTAATGCACATCGGGAAAAATAACCCGACTATTCATACAGTATGATGGGGGCTAATTTGGCTATGACAAATCAGGAAAGAGATCTTGGAGTTATCGTGGATAGTTCTCTGAAAACTTCCACACAGTGTGCAGCGGCAGTCAAAAAAGCAAATAGGATGCTAGGAATATTAAGAAAGGGATAGAAAATAAGACACAGAATATCTTACTGCCCCTGTATAAAACTATGGTATGCCCACATCTTGAATACTGTGTACAGATGTGGTCTCCTCACCTCAAAAAAAGATATTTTGGCCTTGGAAAGGGTTCAGAAAAGGATAACTAAAATGATTAGGGGTTTGGAACAGGTCCCATACGAAGAGAGGTTAAAGTGACTGGGACTTTTCAGTTTAGAAAAGAGGAGACTGAGGGAGGATATGATAGAGGTCTATAAAATCATGAGTGGTGTGGAAAAGGTGAATAAAAAAAAGTTATTTATTAGTTCCCATAATAGAAGAACTAGAAGACACCAAATGAAGTTAATGGGTAACAGGTTTAAAACTAATAAAAGAAAGTTCTTCTTCACACAGTGTGTAGTCAACCTGTGGAACTCCTTGCCAGAGGAGGCTGTGAAGGCTAGGACTATAATAGAGTTTAAAGAGAAGCTAGATAATTTCATGGAGGTTAGGTCCATAAAAAGCTATTAGCCAGGG